AAAAATGAAACATTTGGCAGGTCTAAGCAGTACATTAGTTATCTGACAGGCTTTGGAGATGATCTATAAGATGCATTCATGGACAGTTGCAATAAAACTAGAATTTTATAAGCCTTAGCAGAGGCTATTATCTATTAAAAAGCCAGTTGTTCTTCTAATGATAATAAAGGGTGGTGCAGTAAAAGTACATTATTCATTTGTTAGAAAATTTGATAACATATATGTTCATTAAAAACCCTTCACAGCAGATTGCATGCTGTTACTTTTCATATTGGCTTCTAATTGCATAAAGAAAAAGTTTACTTTCGTCTATTGAATGTTATTACTCTCAATTACAGTAGAAACTTAGTACTTAAAAGGAGTTTGGAAACTTATAAAAAACAATGGCAAATATTTGCACTGCTTTATAAGTTTTGTCAAATTGGGCTCATAATACAAAATGCACAGGGTCCTCTATTTCCTTATATGTTTACTATATGGACTGTTAATATCAAGATAAACAAGATTCCAGAAACTTTGATTTGTGCCATCTCATGGCAGCTGACCAGTGCTTAGATATTCTATTACTATTTGTGTTTTTAAACTTGTCTTTTAATCTACTTGTCTTAAAGGATAAGCAGAGCCTGAAATTATGAGTCAGTTCTGTTGCAATTGCAAGGCTTTTATAAAAAAGATCTCTTATATGCTATGTCTTAAAGCACACTAACTTCAGTTAAGACCATATTGAGCAATCTGTGTTTTGTTTTATGCTTTACTTTTATTTTTTGATTTCCTCTTAAAAGTATTTTGTGTTCACAGCATAAGTATTTATCCTATTTTGAGAGATTTCTAATCAGTATACCAATTAACTATTGGCTTATCACTTATCATAACATTTTAGCATTGATCAGAATTGTGATTATCAAATCACTACTGTTTGTATAACATATCTGATAGCGGTAAGTTAATAGTAAATAGTAGAAGAATTACCTTGACTATTTTGGTTTCTTTTTCTTTTTTTTGAAGTGGTTTTTGCCATAGGGTGCGTGCGCTCGCCAGACAGATAGAAAGCGAGAAATCACCCCCCAGGGGGGATGGCCACCCCGCAATCCCTTTTCCTCCATTCTCCTCTTAGGATCTTGGGCACGCACGTACACGAGCCCAGCGAGAGTTTTAAGCCACCGGGTCCGGGACGCGAACCGCAGTCGACTATGTGGGAGTTTAGTGACATAGCCATTACGCTAACTGCTAGTCCCTTGAGTTTCTTTTGGAGGACCAATAATGCCCATAATGATGGACCAATAATTCCCAAAGTGATACGTGGTACATGCAGTAAATTCTTGGACTTCTGTCTCTATCCAAACAATATAAATTAATAAGACAATTCATGGGAGGGAAAAATAATATCCTAGGATATTTCATATCATTTTTCCCATTGGAATGAATCAGGTGAGCCATTTTATAAAATAAATGTTTTTATTCAAAATATTGGTAAAGCACATAGAACCTAACATAGGTTCTTTATGAGTACTATTCGCTTTAAAACAAGAAATAGGCTTATTCAAGATCTACTCTTTCATTTCTGAAAAGTATTTTTGCACTTGGATATGATTCTGTTATATTTGTAGAATCACAGAATAAATTATTATATAAGTCAATTCAAAGAAATAAATATTTTAAAGAAAAAATATGTATTGAATCATTTTTATTTTAAAATCACTACAGCAAGTATTTTAGAGATGGCTGTTTTGTTCAGAAATTTAAGTTGACTTTGTTGTTAGCAAAATATTTTATAAATAACAAAAATTATTAAATTCATATTCTTGAAAGGCACCTAGGGAAAGCAATTTAAACTTAGAATGTCAAATTAGGCTTACTTCTTTTAGACTTTTGTGAGTGTTTAGAAGTTAAATCATGATAAAAGGATTTTATTATGAATAGCATTATTTTGTACTCATTCTCATACTTCAGGAAAGTTTAAATATATTGGAGACATTTTAATTCACCTCATTAATCTCCTTTATCCCATGTGAGGAAGTTAATGCTAAACATCATTTATTTAATATTTTTAAAAAATGAAACAAAGGCAAAAGCAATTACCATCTTAAATTCCACTATACAGAAAGGTAAGCTAGGTATGGTCTTCATCTTATTGAGCTGAAATTAGTTCTCGTTCTAAAATCTTACATAATATGGAAAACAATTTTATTATCTGAACTGTTCAATGATTTAAGAAGGCTCAATCAAACTAGCTCAAAAAGATATATCAAAGATAGATAGAAATAATACCACTGCTTTCATTGACAGTGATTTTCTTATACTATTAATCAGTTGTTTATATATACAATTTAAAAAAAATAGGGCATCAACAGATGGCATAATGGTTACATCGCTAGACTCCCACATGGTCGACCATGGTTAGAGTCCCAGACCCAATGGCTTAAACTCACGCCAGGCCCATGTGCGTGTGTGTCCAAGATCCTGAGAGGAGAATAAAGGAGAAGGGATTGCAGTATGACCATGTGGGGGTGTGATTTCTTGCTTTCTCTCTCTCTGCCTCTCTCTGTCTTTCTGGTGAGTGCACACATCTCTCTTAAAAATAAATAAATAAATAAAACAAAAAATACCCACATGTTTTATATTTATTCCATTTGAGGTTTTGTTTTAAATATCCTATATTCTGTTTAAGGGTGTGCTTATTTTGATGTTTACATATTCTGGAATTTAACAAAAAATATAACTTTTAATTTTTGTATGACTTAAGCCTAAAGTATTCTTTCTTCCATTGGGTTAGAAATGTGTTATAGTTTTAATTGCTCCAAAGAAATCAGTGTTGTTTTTTCTTTTGTTCCCTGGGTAGTGCCTATGATCAGAAGCCACAAGTGGGAATGAGGCCCTCCAACCCCCCCACGCCATCCAGTACTCCAGTGTCCCCACTACATCATGCATCTCCAAACTCAACTCACACTCCGAAACCTGACCGGGCCTTCCCAGCTCACCTCCCTCCATCGCAGTCCATACCAGATAGCAGCTACCCCATGGACCACAGGTAAACTTCAGACACCAGGTTTTTCAAAGTTATTTTTAGTATTCTTGGAAAAAATTCCTGTAACTAATTCTGAAGACTTCTAGTAGATTGAAGGAGAGCATATTAATTTTGCACATCTGTGCAAAATATTTTTAAAAAGAGCTTGCTCTATCTATACTTATAAATAATTTGTGGAGAAGGTCATTTATAAACATTCCTTTTATAAACATTTAAATTGGTTGCTAAAATGGAAAATTAATCTATATACTGACATTTGAACATTTCCCTTTGCTTTCCTTGAATTAAATTGCTTCACTTAAACTTTAAATCAGATCATCCCATTTTTATGAGCATATGTGTGTACTTTTTCTATAAAGTTAGGAGACTAATTTTAGTAGGTGGCTTATGGAATTAGGTTCTTTACCTTAGATCGAATAGTTAGCTGTACATAGTTTTGCATAACACAACTTATTTGATTAAAATTATTTGCTACCCTTTCCAAGTGACGGTTATCTAATGCCAGTAGAAGCATGACCCTAGACACTGAGAATATATGTTTAAAGAGACAGAAACTGAGATAGTATTACTTAGAAAGCAGCAAGGTAAGAACCACAATATGTTACTAGGGAGAATGCTGTACTAGGTAATTTTTGATCCTAGATATGGAAGAAATGCACATTTGAATAACCTACTGGATGACCCTAGAGGTCCTAAAACAGCACCTTAATACTCCTTCAAACACAGGTTGATTGTAAACAGCATCTGTTCCTCTTCCTGGTAGTGTGCTGTTAAATATTTAACAATAGATTCTGAGGGAGAAAAACCAAGACTCTTGTATTTATTAAGTCTATAGTGTAAGTATAGGCCCTGTGGCCCACCATGAGTTAGTGTGGGGACAACTCTGGATGTGGAATTGGAAAAGGATGAGCAGTAGACACCATTATATAGTATTTCTATTACACAGACTCAGTAGGCATACATAACCTCAAGAGCATAATTAGTAGTGAAATGTAATAAAATGATTAGGAAGTAAAGGGTTTTGAGTTTTTGATTGACTTTATTTTTGCCATAGTTTTAATTGTGAAGTTATATAATTTAATCCTTAATAACTGCTGTGTTTAACAATTGGTTCAAAAAACATCTTGATAATTTAACAATAGGCCAGTGCAAACCAGCTCTGACAGACTATTATAAAAAACCTCATCTAGGCCAGCCTGCTAGTTAGGCAGCTGGATTCCATGTGGCCAATGGAGCAGTTCAAGTCCTGGACCAAGCTGCTTAAAAACCCTGCCAGGCACATGTGATGTGAGCCAAAACTCCTGAGGGATGGATGAGAAGGGATTGCAACATGGCCATCCCCTGGGGGTTGTGTTTGCTTTCTCTTTCCTTCTCTCTCTCCCTCTCTCTCTTTCTGTCTCTCTTGTGAGAGTGCACTGGCCCTCTAGGATATTAAAACAAAACAAAACAAAAAACTAAGCTAAAGGAATCCTCCCGATCATAAGGGAAAGCAGTAGATGTGCCACTGGCAACTTTCTGAAAATGAGAGAGCATTCATATCTTCTTTTTTATAGGTTATTTAATTTGCCTCAGCCTCAAATTCAGTAACTCTTTTTGGAATAAAGGGATAAGATTAAAGCGTTCTTTCCACTGTGAAAGTGAGCGGTGTCTTTCCTACCTCTGTTTTCCTCGTTAAGTCTTCTTGGGCTTCAGTTATTATCGTTCCCTTTTCACCCTGTAGACTTGAGACTTTGTCAGAGTGTAATGGCATGTGCATCTGTGTAAACAGTTTTGTAAATACAGATGAAAGAATTCTTATTGCGGGGTGGGCCATTAAACAGATGCACATTGTGCAGGGCTAAAAGAGAGAGAGAGAAAAAAAAAAGGATGACCCAAAAAATGAGATTTATTGTTTCTACTTCTGGTGATTTCTGTGAGTACTCGATAACTGAGTCTCACCCTCTTCACAGGAGTGCCAGAATTCTAGGTTGTGGAGTTTGCCCTTTGCGCAGAGTAGTTATTTCTTAAGGAAGACGACTGCTGAATAAGCAGTGTGCTCGGTTTTAGGTGACCTAACTGGAAATGCTTCAGCCAAATCCATTTTAGTTTCTCTACTTGAAGTCAAATATTTGAGACTGAGAACAGCCGGCCGGAACTACAAGAGGGAAGCTCAGGGTCTTTTCCCGCTGCCCCCGACTGGGTTTTGAGGACAGTACCAGCTGGCCAATCCCAGGAAAATCTCTGAAGCCGTATGTTTCTGAGGAGGATTTCTTAGAGGGCCCTGGCCAAAAATGACAGTGTCTTAGTTATAAATGGCAAATTTCTCCAGATAGCCCCCTCCAGCCCAGGCACCCCACCTCACTCTGGGAATGTTCCACGGCCAACTGGCCTGCACCCTGCTTCCTTTCCTCAGCCTCACTGTGCTCCTCGGGCCAGCTCGTTGGCACTTTCTCCTAAGCCCACTGTGCAGGAGCCCTGTCTCTTTTTCTCAATTTTCCACCCCTTCCACCCTGTTTCCCTTTTTCCAAGAGTACATCTGCATGTTCTCCTTCCCCATTAACTCTCTTCCAGAAGCTTCTTGTATCACTTTCTCTTTACCATTGGTCAGTGGCTCATAAGAATGTCACCCAAAACTTGCAGTTTCCTCTGAAGCATGTGTGTTTAATATGTTCCCCAGCAAGTACCAACTGGAATCAGGTCGACTTGTAAAAACAAATGGCTTGATTCCTTCCTAAGCTTTCAGTACAAGTATTATTAACTTCCTTTTAAGGCTTCACAAGAGAGCCGGTTTCTTATTTTAACTTCAAGTTACAATTTTCTGATTCACTCCTTGACAGTTCTTAATGATAATTTCTGTTTCTTTTTTTGGCTAATGAAATAAGCAAGAGAAGGGAAATGAATGCAGTGCCAGTCAGCCTAACTGTTTTGTGATATCCAAGTTTCTAAGTTTATTTTCTGCAGGTGTAGGTGGAATTTCAGGGCTTTCCGTGGCAGCCAGTGAACCTGGAGTTAAATCAGAGGATGGAGTGTTCTTAGAAATCCTAAAGTAATTGTTTTGTCATTCTTTAGCTTTCACCTTGCTTTCATTTAACATTATCGAAATTAAATACTAACTTTCCAAATTAAAGCCTCAGGAATGTTTTTAGTGGGGGGAGGGGGTGGTAAGCATAGTGGTGAGGAAGGTTAATAGGCTTATATTTGCTCATAGACATGTTTTATAGGTTATTTATTTTTTTTCAGCACTCCTGGGGCATTTTTAGAGTACTTCTAAATCTTTAATTAATCCACATCTTTGTGGTGAGTCAATGATATTATAGATGAGAAACACAGAACAGAATGATTATGTAATTAGCCAATCGTTACACAGTATAACCAGGAACCAAGGAATGGAAGTTTCACTCACCCTCTGCCGTGGCCTCACATTCCTCATAACCAAGCAGCATAGCTTGCCCAAGTCTAAGTGAAGTATACATGATATTTTCATCTTTGGCTGCTGGCTGTATATTTATTCTTATTTTTTTTCAACCCAATGTTTTATTTGAAGTTATTGAAATCTGACATGCCCTTTGTTGTTCTTTCACAGTAGAGAGATGGTCTTGAAATTAAGGAGAAAAATAGGGAGGCAGGACATCTATAGGACACAAAAATGGATTGTTATCTGCGGATGATAATGTGTATAGTATCCTCAACTGGATTGGTGTCAAGTGTATTCACGTTGGGTAAATTTATTTCACTAGCTACATGATATATAATGATTGAATGTCTGTAATAAATTAAAATATAAAAATAAAAAATAAATGAAACCTAGCTTGGATTTGAATCTCTATAATACCTCGTTTTATTTTTCACTAGAATATAACTTGAATCAAAATATTGCTGAGGGATTGAAAATTCTGCTTTCTTCTCAGTTTACTGATGGTAACCAAAGGAAATCAGACAAGTGGGTTTTTGTTTGGTTAGATTTTTATTTGTTGATTAGTTGGGTGAGAATTTAAAGGTGAAGAATGCAGTGTGGGATCAGCTTTCATTTTCCATTTTTTTCTTTGTGTATAATCATTTCAGAGCTCCATGTGGAATTTATGTAAATGATCTCATTGATTTAGAATTGGGCATTAAGCTGTTAGAGTATGTATTTCCTCAAAATGTCAATTCGCCTATGTCTCTTTGAAGTGCCTCTTTAACCTATGCAATGTACTGAAATGGTGCTGGAAGAGTCTGCCTGGAAGGAAAACACAAGTCATGCCATGGTTCAAAAGTGTGGTGCTACTGACCCAGAAAAATCAGGTGCCCCTTAAAGTTTCCACGTCAGATGAGCTGGCACCATGTTCGCTCACTAAGCAATTAAAAGTTGTACCAGTATTTTAAAGACTATTTCACGTTACCATTTTATCTGAATCACACTCTCTTACTTCCCAGATTTCGCCGCCAGCTTTCTGAACCCTGTAATTCCTTTCCTCCTTTGCCGACGATGCCGAGGGAAGGACGTCCTATGTACCAACGCCAGATGTCTGAGCCAAACATCCCCTTCCCACCACAAGGCTTTAAGCAGGAGTACCACGACCCAGTGTATGAACACAACACTATGGTTGGCGGTGCAGCCGGCCAAAGCTTCCCCCCTCCTCTGATGATTAAACAGGAACCCAGAGATTTTGCATATGATTCAGGTAGGCCCAAGATTCCATGGAATTACATTCAAGGCACTTTTTCACTTCTCTTGTCACTCTGGTTAGTGTTATATCAGACTGGATGGTGTCTGACCATTTGTGTATATGTGTGTGTTTATGTGTGTGTGACATCATTCTGACTTTGTCTCTTATTTGAAACTTGTTTACATGTGAAAGGTTGGATTATCAAACCATTTTTGCATAAGCTGGTGGTCAAAATAGTGTCTGGAAATGAAATCAGTCTAAAGAGAAGTTTGATTACAAACTCATGTACTCTTGGCACCAAAGAGTTAACTTTGTGCCTTTTCTTGATTCTGTTCTTTTTCCCTGTATTTGCTACTGTGATACTAGTTAATGTTTACAGAATGTATTATTTTTTTTGCATTGGGACACTTTTTGCCTATTACTTCAAAAAGGAACTATCTGACGGCAAAGATTCCAAGCGTCTGAAGTTAAGAATTCTTACATATTGAGGAGGAGGAGGAGGAGGAGCCACATAGAGATTCACAGTTGATACACTGAGCTTACCTCAGTGAGCTAGAAGGAGTATAAAGGAGTATGTCAAGGGAAGGGAGGTTTTTGAAAATAAGAAGACTTAAAATCTATTTCTGATGCTGCCAGCATTTAAACCTTCAGACTTTAGAATAGTTAACTCATCAGTGCTGTTTTTCTTGCTATAATCTGAGAAATGAAGGCATCTGCTTTTCACACATCTCAGGTATTTTGAAAAGATGTGTGAAATAAAAGCTAATGTTTATAAGGAGGGCACCAAATATGTGCAAAATACTATTACTGCAACGGTGGTCAGTAGATGGCTGTGGACGTTGGGGTGTTTGAGAGCAGGATAATTTTCTTTTATCCAGATGCAAAGGTTCTGGACATTCTTTATGAAGGAACTATTGTTTTCTTAGTAATAACTCTTCTAAGATTTTGTATGAATTCTTCTTGAGAGAGGAAAATTGTCTCCAAGTCTTGAGTGCCCAACTTTCATAAAATTTCACGCTTTATTTTGAGCTACTCTTAAAGCTCGGCAAGAGTGAGCCCCATGACTTAAAAAGTCTTCTGGCCGTCCTCTGACTGCACCCTTTCTTTCTGGCAAGAAGTTCAAAGGTCTAATGCAAGTGACCACTGTGGGACATGCCTCAACTTATAGAAAGCATGCTAGCTCCCCCAAGTCTATGAATTCCCTGCCTCACTGGCCCTGACTCCACTTCCAAGGCCTGAGCAGGTCCATCGTAGGCCTGGGTTCCTGGAAGCACAGTCCGCTGCCCCTGTGAGTACTCCTATGTCTCAAGGTCAGGGGGGCTGTTCATGAGTTGCTGAGGACTGAGCGTATATGTGCCCACAGGTAGGCATGTGAAGTCCCAGCAGTGAACAGAAGGTTGGGTTGAAGGATAGACAGAGAGGCAAGAAGGTAAATGTGAGACCAGAGTCTGAAGACTGGATTCTGCTGTCTCTACAACCTCCCATTCCAGGACTACTCTTAGAGATTTCCTCAAATGGTAAATCTGATCCAGCCTTTCCGATTGTTCTCATAGTATATTTTCAAATGTGGACAGAATGTATTTATTAATTTGTTTGGCTTATTTATAATTTTATCATTTAAATATGTGGAATGATGACTATCATTTGAATTCTTGCCTCAGGATCTGAAATTTAGGACTATCTTGAAGTGTTCTGTAGTGGTTTTAATGTGAAACCTTTTAATATCTGTCCATTGATGTTCATAATTGAAAACCCTGCACGACTATGGATCGTATTATTGATAGGATACGCTTCTCTGTATGAATTTCAAATCCTGGCAACTGATAATGTTATTTCCTAAACCACATTTTAATTTGCTGCAAGTTTTTTTGGTGGTGGTTGTTTGACCATAGGAATCAGGCACTTGCTGGAGAGAGTCAGAGAGAGAGAAAGAAAATGAGAAGTCACTCCCCAGGGGGAATGACCATGATGTAATCCCTTCTCCTCCACTCTCCTCCTGGGATTCTAGGCATGCACACACACACACACCTGGTGTGATTTTCAAGCCGCAGGAACCCAGACTCAAATGGCCTTGGACCACATTGGAGTCCAGCTGACTCAACCACCATGTCACCTGCTGGCCACAGCTGCAGGTTTTTTAATTTGTCATAATTTCAAGAAAAATTGCATAAATTAGCTCCAAAATATCACTCAAGAAGACCTCTGTAGCATAGGATTTAAAATGTTTGTGTTTTCTGGAATTTTTATATGATTACTACTAAAAAAAATAAGATGGAAATTGTTTTCTTGATTCTGTGATTTGCTCCCTGGGTGCCTTCTCATACTTACATATACAGTTGAATGTAGCATGGTATTAGGATGTATAAAATCCTCGAGGACATGTAAACTAAACTGGGAAGAGATTTAAAGATTTTACTAAAGGGAGACCAGCAGTTGGTGTAATGGCTATGTCACTGGACTCCCATGTAGTTGACCGCGGTTTGAGTCCTGGACCCGGTGGCTTAAACTCATGCCAGGTGTGTGTGTATGTGTGTGTGTGTGTGTGTGTGTGTGTGTGTGTGTGCCCAAGATCCCAAGAGGAGAATGGAGAAGAAGGGATTGTGGCGTGGCCATCTCCCCTCGGGGGTGATTTCTCGCTTTCTGTCTCTCTGTCTTTCTGGCGAGCGCACGTGACCTATAGCAAAATCCTCTTAAAAAAAAAAAAAAAGATTTTACTAAAGGCAAGATATAGGAACTGGTGTAAGAGTTAATTACATTATTTATGGACAATTTATGGTATGATCTTCAGAGCCAGTTACTGTCTAACCCTCAAATACACAGATTAAGTTACTCATAACCTTCCAAAGCATAGTCTAGTTTTTTATTTTAAAGGTATATAGGGTGTCTCTTTTGTAATTGTGCCATATATCTTGCAAATGACTTGTAAAATACTTGTTTAATATTTGAGAAGCTGTTAATTTTCTGTTACTTTTCTCCCCTTTAATTATATTTCAGATTGCCAAAGCTGCACACCACCTTTGAATTCTAATTTCGATATTGCCCATAGGATATGATTCTGTTTTACTTAAATACTTAAATGATAAAGCTGTCTCTTTTAGATACCATTTAAATGAAATATAGCAACAGTGTAAACAAAGCCTATGAAAAATTAATCTGTGGGTATCAAAATATACTTTGCTGGCCACCAGACTGCTGCATTTATGTTGACATATCTAGATATGTCATGCATTGCAATCAACAATTATGATCTCTAGAGATTTGGGGTGGGTTTTTTGTCTTTAGTTTTTTCATCCATAATGAGAGCATACTAAATAACCTTTTATGAAATCTAATGTATGTCACTGCACCACTGATTTCTTTTTGTCCACATTGATGTTGAATGAACTTCTCACTAGGAAATGCTTTCTGTGGGGTTTAAAATAAGACAAAAAAATTTTAGCTAAGTTAGTTACCTTAGTATCTATGACCTGAAGGTTATCCTTTCAGGAGGCATCTAGGACTTTTTACTGCTTAATTCAATATATCATAAATGTTATGAAAATAAAAGAAGACCTGTAAGGGAAAAAGCAGCATGATTGTGCTCTAATAAAGGCTGACATTAATTATGACATGGGAAATGGAAGGCCTATTAGTTATAATTATAATTACAGGAATGCAATTTCAACTGCCGAATATTTAAGATAAAAAATGCAAAATATTATGTTAGAGCAAACATTTTTATTCAGGAGAAGATTAAAAAAAGGAACAGAAGATGGTGAGATGATAAGAAACAGTTATATTTAAGCCTAGTTTGGTGAATCAGCACAGAGTGATCATAATTACATCATGAAACTAAGTTCTGAAAAGTACAATGCACCTATTGTTGTCACTTTTCTTGTCTAGCCTCATAGTGCTGCGTAAAACAGTACACAGGATTTTTGCTTATTTATTGGTTTTCTTAAATCCAACATCCTTTTTTGTTTTTGCCCTTATGGCCAAGTGACCACATAGTAAAGATGAAATATGTGGTGAGTGTATCATCCGGAATGCCACATACAGTCCTTTATACACTCTCCCATGTTCATAGAATCATGGCTGCTTTCTCTTTTCATGGCTCTATATGAGGTTTTGCAGATTTAGAATGCCCAGTAAAGCAGATCTTTCAGATGTTTATACTAATATATTTCATTAGAGTTACATGTGTTGGTTGGCTAGTGCCTTGCTTGGTTTTGTTTCATTTTCATTTAATTTTTGATGGCTTTGTGGGTAGATTTTTTAGAGGAACAATGGAAACAGAACTAAAGTTTGACTGAAAATATCAGCATGCAGGCCAGCAGGTGGCGTGGAGGTTAAGGTGCTGGATCCTACATAGCTGACTGTGTGGTCCAAGTCCTGAACCTGGTGGTTTGAGACTCACACTGGGTGTGTGCGTACACAAAATTGCAAAACCCCAAAATACTGAGAGGAGAATGGAAGAGAAGGGATTATGGCATGGCTATCCCTCTTGGAAGGTAGTTTCTCAATTTATTCCTCTCTCTCTCTGTGGCGAGCACATACAGCCTATAGCAAAAAACAAACAAACAAACAAACAAACAAAACAACAACAACAACAACAAAAACAACCTTTTTAAGAACATTCAAAATGAAATGTTGTTAAAAATGTACTTTAGAGTAATTTCACTCTCAGGAATTTTCCCTAAGTAATAGTGAGAGATTCACAGTGAATGAGATGGAGTGAGAGAGAGCAAAATGCTATAATCATACAACAATTAAATAGGAAAATAAGTTATGACTATCCACAAAAGAAGTGGCATATAGCTATTAGAAGTCAGGATTAAAAAAAAAAATATTTAATGAAATCTGAACACTGAGGTTTTTTTTTTCTCTAAAACAAAATATATGAAGCATGACCATGAAAAACGAGACCTGGTACAGAAATACTCTGGCTGTGTATGGGTGGTGGTATTTAAGTGATTTGTGTTTTGTTCATAAAGTGCTCTGTATTTTAACAATGCTTATGCACGAGTTTCCTCATC